CATGGACTGCTTCGCACACTGCCCCTCCCATCCTCCCCTCCCAGGGCCTTGCTCCTCCCCCGCCCCTCGCTCTGCAATCTTCCTTCCCTGTCCCCTGTTTTCCCTTCCAGGGGACATCCTGGGGCATGAGGATGGGAATCAGTGGTACCCTGGGCATGGAAATCATGAGCTCCCCTGTCCTGAAGGAGCAGGGTTGGGGGAAGCTGCATGGTGGTGAGGTGGGGGGTGAAGGGAGGGACAGAAGCAACAAAGATGAAGTAGAACGGGTAAACTGAATTAACTTTTGGGTAAACATTCCCCCACGATCCCGAGATCATGACCTGAGCCAAAATCAAGAGTCAGACACTTAACCAACTGAGCCACCCAGGTGCCCCTCAGACAGGCTTTTACATATAAACAGAGTAATAGAAGAAGCAGGCTGAAAATAAGGTGAAGCTGGGGATTTAAGTAAAATATAAAGGTGAGCTTCCCCAGCTGAAAGATTCTGGAATGAGCTTCTAGGGGAATCAGAGTATTTCCCTCTGGCCACCGTGCAAGAGAGTTAAGAAGCTGAGAACATCAAACACCAGAGTGTCTGAATTGTTTCACCTTTTAACTGGCTGACTCTAGAAATCTTCTTAGCTGTTTCTTTTTAATTAAACATTGAATCAAGTTCACTAATAAAGAGATTAAAGTCAAAAGACATCTTGGATTCTGTTTCATAGCGCACTTCCCAGGCCACAGTCGCCTCGGTCAGCTCTCGGCATCGTTGATGAGTCAACTCACACCACGTAGGCCTTCACCATCCCCTAGCCACCTGCACACTGTGTGCTCTGGAGAGCTGGCCTGGGGGTGGGGGGCGGGGTGTGTGGTGCTGTGAGTCACCTGGTCCCCAGCCCCGCCCAGCACTAGCACCAGCAGGCTCTCATACTCTCCGAATGAAAGACAGACGGAAGGGCGCCTGGGTGGCTCAGTTGGTTAGGCGACTGCCTTCGGCTCAGGTCATGATCCTGGAGTCCCGGGATCGAGTCCCGCATCGGGCTCCCTGCTCGGCGGGGAGTCTGCTTCTCCCTCTGACCCTCCCCCCCTCTCATGTGCTCTCTCTCATTCTCTCAAATAAATAAATAAAATCTTTAAAAAAAAAAAAAGAAAGACAGACAGAAGACATCATGTCTGTTCTCACCTTAAAATGCACTGTTCCACACCTGGAGATTACATTTCAAAATTAATATCATCTTCAAGTGAGAAATCTAAACTCAACAGTAAACCGAACGAAATACGAATTTTAGTGTTAAAAACTCAGAAAGTCTCCTCCATTGCTGGTAGGAATGTAAAACGGGACAGGCGCTCTGGGGAACAGTTTGTCAGTTTCTTAATAAAACGTGAGCATAGGGGCTCCTGGGTGGCTCAGTTGGTTAGGCGACTGCCTTCGGCTCAGGTCATGATCCTGGAGTCCTGGAATCGAGTCCCGCATCGGGCTCCCTGCTCAGCAGGGAGTCTGCTTCTCCCTCTGACCCTCCCCCCTCTCATGTGCTCTCTCTCTCTCATTCTCTCTCTCTCAAATAAATAAATAAAATCTTTAAAACAAACAAACAAACAAACAAAAACGTGAGCATACGCTTACTAAACAACCCAACAATCACACTCAGGCATTCTCCCAGAGGGGTGAAAACAATACCCACACTGAAGCCTGTATGTGAACGTTCATATGGCTTTATTTAGAAGAGCTAAAAACTCCAAGCAATTACGGTGTGTCTCAGTGGGTCAATGGTGAAACAAGCCATGGTACAGCCATGCCGTGGAATATTGCGCAGCAATCACAGGAACTACGGACACACACACAGCTCGGGTGGACGTCAAGGGCGTTATGCTGTGTGCAAGGGGCCATTCTCAAAAGGCCACATGCTCTATGACTCTATTTATTTATATAACTTTTTAAAAAAAGATGTACTTATTTATTTTAGAGAGAGAGAGCAGGAGCAGGGGGAGGGGCAGAGGGAGCGGGAGAGAGAATCTCAAGCAGACTCTGAATTGAGCACGGAGCCCGACGCAGGGCTCGATCTTACCACCCTGAGATCATGACTTGATCCGAAACCAAGAGTCAGATGCTTGACCGACTGAGCCACCCAGGCGCCCCTGTTTATATAACTTGAAATAACAAAATTATAGAGATGAAATTAGTGGCTTCCAGGGGTGCTGGAGGGGATGAGGGAAGACTGGGTGGGGGTTGGGTGGCTGTAAAAAGGAAGCAGGTGGAAGATCTCTCTGGTGCCAGAATGGTTTTCTTGATTGTGGTGGTGACATGAATCTACAGGTGTGAGAACATGACACAGAAGATGACATAGAAGATGACATACTTGACCAATGTCGCTTACTCGGTTTTGATGGGACTAGCATTATGAAATCACTGGGCGAAGCTGGGGGAAGGCTATGGGAGACCTCTCTGAGCTATATTTGCAACTGCCTATGAATCTTTACCGCAAATAAATGTTTTAAAATGTGCGTTTTAATGTTAAAGAGTCTAAAATAAAGCAACCTAGGCAAAGATCTGTATGAGCAGGCTCCGGGGGCAGAGTTGGTAGGGAACGCTTGATTCTATAGTCTGTGCCAGGAACACTCACTTAAGGAAAAGATGGTGCCAAACAGCACGCACAGAATAACCCCATTAAATACATACATATGTGTGTGTATATATGCATACGCGTAGGGATTATATTTATTATTATCCATACATACGGATCATATTTATTTCTATATTTTCTAAGTATTCCACAATGAATAAGGATCACTTGTGAATTAAAACTGAAGTTGTAGGGGCGCCTGGGTGGTGCAGTCGGTTAAGCATCCCACTCTAGATTTCGGCTCAGGTCGTGATCTTGGGGTCCTGGAATTGAGCCCCACATCAGGCTCCCCGCTCAGCGTGGGGTCTGCTTGAGATTCTCTCTCCCTCTCTCTCTGTCCCTCCCACTCATGCTCTCTCTCTCTCTTTCTCAAATAAAATAAATAAATCTTTTAAAAAAAAAAAACCCTAAAATTGTAAATAAGGAAATATCAGACAAGGCTGAATGAAAGGACATTTACAAAATAACTGATCGCTATTCTTCAGAAGTATGAAGACAGACTGAAGGAGACAGAGGAGGTAAGACACCCAAATGCAATGCCAAATCCTGGACAGGAACCTGGACCAGAAAAATGACATGAGTGGGGAAATCACAATTTGAATGAAGTTTATTAGAACAGTTGATCAATGAAAGTATCCATGCTAATTTCCTGATTTTTATAGTTGTATTACGTAAGATGTGGACTTTAAGGGAAGCCGAGTAAAGAGTGTATGGGAATGCTCTGTCCTATTCACACAGCTTTGCTATAAATCTAAAATTACATCAAAAGAAAAATAAATGAGTACAATTGAGCCAATGACAACATCCCACCCCCTAGAGATACTTAAGGCCCCAGCCGAAGCCTATAGGAGCCCAGCCTCGTGGGGCTGGATGCATGCGATGGCCCCTATCATGACAAAGTACCCCCAGGGGGTTTCCTGGCTCTGTAAGCCCCTTCCCTCCAGCCTCCTGCCTGCTGGGCTCTCCTGGAATCCAGGCCTTCCCTGTTCTTGGCCCCCAGCCTGAAAATCCATCCTGTTCTTTGAGGTCCAGCACCAAAATCGGCGCCTCCGTGGTAGGTCTGGACCCCTCCCTGACTTGACAAGGTCAGACCGTCTCTCCTTGCTGATGCCACAGCCTCAAGCATAGTCTGACTTTGGAGGAGTACTCGGGAATGTGTCTTCAGCAGACAGGGCACCCTTTACCAGGGGCTTGCAACACTGACATAAAGCATGTGCTCAGTACAGAGTGGTGGCAAGAATCACAATCCTGGCAATTCATGTGGTTGTTCTGAGGTGAGGGACATGCCCGGGTCCGGGCACAGAGAACTTTCAGGAGCACTAAGATGTCATCAGCCTGGCAGGATGCCCATGCTTATGTTCCCTCCCCCTCTGCCCCCAGGGGGCAGGCCTGGCAGAAACCTGCCTCTTGGGTGGGGTTTCAGCTGGAGCCGCCCAAATGCTGGGCCCACCCTGACTGGCTTCCCTTTCTCGGTGCCATCAATGGGTGCGCTTTAACCAGTTTGCCACAGGGTCACTTGCTCAGGCCCAGCCTTCAGGCAAATGATGAGAGAGGGCTGGTCAGGTCCGACTGAAAGCTGGAACCACCTTCCCCTCCCTGGCCCGGGGTCAGCACTGCCAAATTCAGAGCTGTTCAGAAAGTGTTACCCACAAGCTAGATATTTCAGGACGTGTTCAAAACACGAAATAAACTCCTTTGCCCTGAATGGTTCACCAGATTTCAGTGTCCCCATGAGTAGAAAGGGGATGGTGGCAGCTGGCTCAGATGGGCACTGCGTCTACAGGGCTCTGCAGACTGCAACATGTGAGCCACCCCCAGCCCCTGGCAGGGGTTCGAGCCGCAGTTCAGCTGCAGGGCATCTCAGAGAGTGTAACGCAGTGATAGGTCCCCATGTGCAACCGGGGCGGCTCACACAACTGTTTTATGGCAGATGTTGTCACAAGCTACCTCTTGCACAGAGTCTACAAGGAAGACCTCCTCTCAGAAGGAAAGACAGAGTGTCCCCCCCCAACCGTTTTGGACTTTAGAAAAGCAGAAACAAGCAAGTAGTTGGAGAAAAGAAACCATATGAAAGTCCATTTCTAGCATCTTCCTGAGGACCCAGGATATTTTAGCAGCATCCCCCCACCACCCTTCACCGCCCGTCCGATCACCAGGTGGCCTGCCTGTCACCCACGGTGGGTGGGTTTGTTTTGGAAGGAGGAAACCCACCCATACTGCAGAAGTTGGGAGGAGTAGCACAGGGAGGGATTAGGGACCATCCCGGCTGAGTCGGAGTGGTGGGGGAGATGGGAGACCCACAGCAGCTCCGGCCCCTGTCCCCCCCCACCCCCACCCCCAGGAGTGCCGGCTTCTCCTGGGCCCTCCCCTTCTGCAGGTGACCCACGTGGCAGCACTCACCAGCTCGGGCAAGAAGAAGGCGTAGGGGATGGTGAAGAACAGCACGACCCCCAGGGGCACTTCAGGTGGGGCATAGCTGGTGGCAGGCGGCCGGTCCGGGGAGGCCATCTCGAGCCCAATGCCTGGTGCCCTTGGCTCCGCAGCGGCTCGCCTGCGCCAGCCCAGGCAAATATCACCTCCTGCCTGACACACCCATCGGACGTCGCCTGGGAGGGAAAAAAACCGTTCCAGCCAAGCAGGTCCTTCCACTGCCCCAGCCAAAAGACTCCCCAGTGAAATGCGAATGCAGATTCAGCTTTGCATCAGATGGGCCTCGGCTCCCTGGGGCAGAGCCACTGGGCACGCTGAGGCACGGAGGGTGGAGACTCTCTTCCTACACTTTCCCTCCTCAGGAATTTTGAATCCGGGAGCATATTAACTCCAGGGGATGCCAGCTACAGCCACCACCCCTCGATCATGTGGCCAGAATCTAGGCGAAGGCCAATTGCTCTGACCAGGACTGTTTATTAAGGGCCTACTATGAGCTAAACAATCTGCGGGCTCCCCACAGCCATGCTCACGGCTATATCATCTCTTTCCCAAGTGAGGAGACTGAGAATCTGTTAGGTTAAGCTAAGGTCACAGAGCTGGTCACGAATGATGTTGGGTCTTCTATCTGTCCGCCCCTGCTGCCTGGGTCCCTCCTTCTCCACTCCCGGGGGCCATCCTCTGTCTCAGAGGGGGAGAAGCTGTCCTCACTTCCAGCTCCTGTCCCCAGGCAGTTGGCATTTCCTTCTCTCCTTGCATCCCCTTCACCACCCTCCTCCCTTCTCTGCTCACATAGCCGGTGGAGGAGTTCTCCCTCTCTAGAAGTCGGCCCCATCAGGCACCTGAGAAGGGCTCAGTTGGCTGGGTGCAGCCCCAAGTTTGAGCCTTCCTCCTTCCCTGCCACAGCCCTCAGCGAGTGTCGCCAGGCGCTGGGCTTGGGGCCAGGCAGTTCCTTCCTGCCTCCCGCCCACCCACTGGCTGATCAGGGGGGCTGTGACCCAGTGGTCAAGCAACTCCTCTCACTCTAAAGATAGGTCCTGGAGACTTGAGTCCTTTTTCTTCTCTACCTTAGAGTCAACCATGTGCAGAAAGGCCTGGAACCCCAGGGTCTGCTCAGGGTGCTTGGGGTTGGGGTCCTTTCTCCCTGCCCTCAATGGTCAACCTCAGCCCCATGGTCAACCTTGGGGAGCTGCTCCCTGGTGAGGAGGGGATGTGGGAAGGATCGCCTTGTGTGCTGGGGTAATTAACATCTTCCACAAGAGGCCAGTATCTGTTCATCAGCAAGAGCAGTGCATTCTAGAGCCTGCCCTCCTGGGCACAGGTCAGTGGAACAGGCAGCTGGGCCTGTGCCTGGTCTGGGGCTAGGCGGCGGAGAGGGGGGTTTTGGACAAGTGAAGCCCAAAGCAGAGCATTGAAAGGGGAGGCAAAGAACACACTGACTAAACCTCAAGCCAGCCTGGTCATTCCCTTCCCCCAGGCCTGCCGAGACCTAGGGAGAGAGTGAGGCCCTCATTCTACCTGCCATCTGGCCCCACCTCGTTTGCAGGATGAATTCAAGCTAAGCGGGCATTGCCTCAGGAATCCCACCTCTTGCCACCTCTCCTGCAGGTTGTGAATAAGCCCTGTGACACTCTTATGGCCTGTAGGATACTTGGACTTGACCACTGACAACACGGCATCATGGGAACAGCTTAGGGAAAGCAAGAAGGAAAACACTGTCCTTAGGCTCATTTCTCATCTATGAAGCAGTGGTAATAATAGAAACTGGAGCCCTTAGAGGTTGACAGAGTCTGAGCCACTTCTACCTCCTGAGGCAATTAGTGTACTAAGAAATGAAGATGGGGGCTCCTGGGTGGCCCAGTCGGTTGAGCGACCGACTCTTGATTTCAGCTCAGGTCATGATCTCAGGGTCTGAGATGGAGCCTCAAATCAGGCTCTGGGCGAGCGTGGATCCTGCTTGGGATTCTCTCTCTCCCTATCTCTGCCCCTCCTCCCCTCTGCTCACATGTGCTCTCTCTAAAAAAAGAAAAAGAAAAAAGACATGAAGATGTGACAAAACATGGTGACAAAAACTTGGGCATATTTTAAACATTTTACATTTAACCAAGTGATGTTATATCATATGTGACAAGGTACAGCACACTCCACTTAGGCAATTGAGAAGAAAGCTACAGGATTCATAATGCACCACAGGGAGTGAGATCCCAGCAGGGACAGAAGTTTAGAGCTGTAAGAACAGCTTCAACTTGGAAGAAATAGAAAAAAGCTCACCCGTTCCTGAAATGATTCTGACTTTTGTATCATATTCCTGGAGGAGGTGTCACAAAACACTCCACAATGCACTCCCGACGGCCGTCCTGCTGAAATGTCAGAAGGAGCCAATATCCCGGATGCATCAGGTCTGGTTGAATATCTTAACGGATGGCTTCAGATAATCAGACCACGCGATCAGCACGATGCCCCCACAGCATCTGCCTTGCCGCGGAGGATGCAAGGAAGGGAGATTACTCTTGCGCAGTGTCTTCTTCCCCCCTGCTGGGTTTATTTTTTTTCTTCTTTCTTTTTGGATCAGTTTTTATTCTTTTACCTTACATCCCAGGACACTTCTTACCAACACAACTGTTAAACATTCTATATAAAAAGTTGTCTTATCTGAGAATGTATTAGGAAATAAGTCTTTACTTTTCACAGAAAATCTCAAAGAAAAACGAACAAAGGGACGCCTTTGCCATGCTTTCCATCCCATACAACAGATTTAAGTTTTGTGCAAGAAAATATTTTTTAAGTAAAAATAAAATTGCAAAGCATTACAAGGAGAGGCACTTCTGGGGCTATGGGTATAAAAGCACCTGAAGACGAGATCAGAAGCCTGGGGTGAGGCCTTGGGGAATGCCAGGCCCAGGAGAGGGGTCTTCCAGACTCTTCTACAAAGGGCCTGCTGGTTTTCATCCCCTAGATAGAGTATTGGAGTTAATCTTGAAAATCGTGCAACAGTACTCAACACTGCTGATTCCTGTTATCATCGTGTCCACACTCTCCTTTGTTCATGGGAGTGGGTTAAATGGGATAATCCATAATGAAAGCATTTAGGACAGTTTTGGCATATGGCAGATGCTTAAGAAGTACTCGCTTATTTATCTAATTCTTATCCTGAAATCACTTCTCTTCTGGCCTTCTTTCCTTTCCACAACAGAATCTCCCCCGTTCATATTTCCATTCTGACTTTTAAAAATAGTCTCAAAATTGTTTTTATTGGTGCATAATACACTTACAGAAAAAGTGCACAAAACATACAGACCAAGAAACTGCCACCCAGGCATAGAATGTTACCAGACTCCCAGTCATTTCTCCCACCCTCCTCCCTAATACCTGCTCTCATGCCGCCCTAACCCCATAGGCTGGTTTTGCCTGTTTTTGAATGGATTCCTTTGTGTCTGGCTTCTTTCACTCAATATGAGGTCTGTGAAACTCATCCATGTCACTGGGTGTTGCTGTATCTCACTCACTGCTGCATGGTGTTCCACTCTATGAATATGCTACGCTTCATCAATCTATTGTTTCTGGACATTTGAGTTCTTTCAATTGCAGTTATAATTAAGAACAATACTATGAACATTCTAGAACATGTCTTTGGAGCATCTACGCATACACTTTTTTTTTTTTTAAAGATTTTATTTACTTGAGAGAGAGAGAGCACGTGTGAGCATGGAGTGGGGGGAGGGGCAGAGGGACAAGCAGACTCCCAGCTGAGTGTGGAGCCTGATGTGGGGCTCCATCCCAGGACCCTGAGATCCTGACCTGAGCCAAAGTCAAGATGCTTAACCAACTGAGCCATCCAGGTGCCCCTATGTATGCACCTCTATTGGGAATATCTTAGGAATAGGTTGTGGATTATGTGGTATGTGTTTTTCGCAGATAATGTCAAGCTATTTTACAAAGTTGTTTAAACTATTTATATTCCCACCAACAATGTATGCAAGTACTGTTGCTTGTAATTGATGTTTGCATGTATATTATAACACACTTGGTGTTTACATGGTATAATATATATTTTTTGCATTCTTTTATTTTTTTTCCTCACCCTTTTACTTATTTATTTATATGGGTTTTGCTGTGGTTATGATTTAAATGGGTCTTTTTTCTTTTAAAATCTATTCTGAAATTTGCTGCTTTTGGTGTATTTAGACTCTTCACACTGAATGTAATTATTGATATGTTTGGATTTAGGTCTACCATTTTATTTTTGGTTTTTGTTTGCTCTGTGTTTCATTTCTTTGCCTCCTCTTTCTTGCATTCCTTTGGATTTTTGGAATATTTTTAGTGTTCCACTTTAACTCATCTACTGAGTTTTGACTACGTCTCTTTGCAGTGTTTGTTTAGAAGTTTGCTCCAGGAGTTAAAATATTCATAGTTAATTTTCCAGTCTACTCAGAATTAATATTTTGCCACTTCAAATGGAATGCAGAAAGCTTACGACTGTGTAGGTCCCTTTATCCTCTTGTTTTCCAATCGCAGTTGTTGTATGTATTATATATGCATACATTCAAACCCCGCCAGACAATGTTATTACTTTTGCTTTCAACTATCATACATATTTTTATTTACTTATTATTATTATTTTTTTAAAGATTTTTATTTATTTGAGAGAGAGAATGAGATATAGAGAGAGAGCACATGAGAGGGGGGAGGGTCAGAGGGAGAAGCAGACTCCCTGCTGAGGAGGGAGCCCGACGCGGGACTCGATCCCGGGACTCCAGGATCATGACCTGAGCCGAAGGCAGTCGCTTAACCAACTGAGCCACCCAGGCGCCCCTATCATACATATTTTAAAGAACTTAGAGGAAAAAAATTGAGTCCATGCAATGAATGTTTTCAGTTTGGTTATTATATTTATTCTCAAAACTTCAATTCAGTTCTTTCTGTATTGTCTGTTTCTCTGATGAGACTATCTTTCTATCCACTTCAAGATTTGCCTGTATTTCTTGAACATGATTATAATAGCTTTAGTGTCTCAATTTTAACTCTTGTGTCATCTCAGAATTGTCTCTTGATTGTCCTTTTGTCTTTTTCCTTGAGAGGTGTGGAGATTTTCCTGTGTCTTCAAATATCATGTAATTTTGGGTTGTATCTGGACATTGGGAATACTGTTAGGGGATTCTGGGTCTTGTTTAAATCCTACACAAATGTTGATTTTTTGGTTTATTAGGCAAATGCCTGGTTAAGTTCCTGCTGTGAGTTGCTCTCTGTCGTCTCTGAGTTATAACCACTGACAAAAGTCAGTTCCGTTTTTAAGGTTTTGCAGTGCAATTCCAATCTGCTCAGTGTGTGTGTGTGCTTGTCCGGGACTTGGGACCAGTCTGGGACCCTGGAGCTCA